GATACACAGAAGGCAGAGGAGAGGAGAGCAGTGGAGATCTATGGGCCGGCCCTTGGGTCGGAAGAGCCACTGCTGCTAGGGAAGCCCCTCCCCAGCTCTGGGGATAAAAGGCAGGGGGCGGCAGAGATGAATAGGGGTGGCAGACAACTATTCAACTCCCAGACGGACGGACTTGTGAGCCTGCAAGAGGAACTTTGTGCCGGGGCTCCTAATTAAAGGAATCGTCTGAGTTCACATCAGGGTTTGCCGTGTTTGGAGAGCTGGGTCAGAACAGAGCCCCGGGGGGGGGGGGATGGGGGCCCCTCCCACAACACCTGCGCACCCACCAGCCGGTACTCGATCTCCGTGAAGTCCTTGAGGGCGCTGCGCGTGGCGTCCACCCACTCCTTGTCCCCCTGGGAGTTCTCTTGGGTGCCGAAGACGTAGATGTCGTGCGGGATGGAGACGGTCATCTCGTCCAGGGTCTTGCCCAGCCCCTTCGAGGCAAACCAGGAGGAGAGGCTCTTGGACGGCGGGACGCTACCTGCGGGGGGGAGAGGAGAGGAGGGGGGCCGGTTAGAGGGTCCCGGATGGGGCTCAGGACGGAGAAGCTACAGGGGGGCTCCACTCCTCTTCGGGCCAAAGTTTGCATTGTGACCCTTCCCAGAATTGCTCTGGATATGGAGATGGGCAGCATGTAGATTTAATAAAAGAGAAGGGAGGGAGGGAGGGAGAAAAGAAAGAAAGAAAGAAAGAAAGAAAGAAAGAAAGAAAGAAAGGAAGGAAGGAAGGAAGGAAGGAAGGAAGGAAGGAAAGAAAGAAAGAAAGAAAGAAAAAAAGAAAGAAAGAAAGAAAGAAAGAAAGAAAGAAAGAAAGAAAGAAAGGAGGAAAGGGAGGAAGAAAATGGAAGGAATAAAGAAAATGGAAGAAAGGAGGAAAGAAAGGAAGGAAGGAAGGAAAGAAAATGGAAGAAAGAAAGAAAGGAAGAAAGAAAGAAAAAATTTGTGTACCCTTACACATAGACAAGACAGCCGCTTGTCCATAATGCTATAAAGTCCCCCAAGAGGGCTGGACTAGAAGACCTCCAAGGTCCCTTCCAGCCTTGGATTCTAGGATTTCTATGGCTAAGCCTTCTCCCGCCCAGATTGCTCCCCAAACATCTTCCAGAAGGTTCCAGAAGGCACCCACTCCCCCCCCGCCCCCCGGGCTCACCCATGTTCCAGGTGCCAATGAAGACCGAGATCATGTCTGGCTCGTCCTGGCTGGAGTGCCGGTTCTTCATCAGCTGCAGCAGTTGGCAGAAGGCCTCTCGTTTCTGGGGGGGGGGGGGGGGGGCCACCACCAGGGAGCCCCCGGGGGGGGGGGGGGGGGCCAGCCCCCCCCCGAGCCCCCCCCCCCGGGGGGCCCACCCGGCACCCCCCCCCAAAAGGCATCCCCCCCCCTCCTCCCTTCACCCTTCGGGCATTAGAAAGGAGGACATTAAAGGTTTAAAAAATGCAGGTGGTCCTCGACTTACGACCAAGATTGAGCCCAAAATTTCTGCCGCTAAAGTGAGACGGGGGTTAAACGGGGTTTTGCCCCAGTTGTTCTTTTTTTAAAAAAAATAAACTTTATTCATCTTTTATCATTTTAAAAAGAAACAAAAAATATAAATCTTATAAAGACCAACAGTTTGTGACCTTCACCTTATACTAATATTTTGTGCGTTATTTACAAATATATAGAATTTGCGCGGATATAAATCATTAACTTATCTAGTGCTTATCCCTATTTATTTACAATCCATTTATCTATCCACCAAGGTGTTTTTGCTCAATCCAATCATACCATTTTTCACACATCTTGCAATAATCAGATTCCTCTTTCTCTTGTAAACTCAACGTTAATTTGTGCATCACGGCAGAGCTCATTGTTTTTTGAACGATCAGTTCCTCTGGTGTATACATGTGTGTTTCCAATCCTGGCTGCAGTTAAAATGTGCAATATTAAATATTTTATATTCCTCCCATATTTCTTTCTGAATATCCCCAATAAAAAAATAATTTCGGTTCTAATTCTATTTGTTCATTGGTAATCTCCTGTAACCATTTTTGAATTTTTTTCAACTTGCCCCAATTGTTCAGTGGACCGCTGCACTTGTTAAAGTTAGTATAACACGGTTGCTAAGTGAGGTTTTTTTCCCCATTTGATAACAGCTTTTGCCACCGTTGTTAAGTGCATCAATGCAGTTGTGCCAATAGAATCACGGTCGTTAAGCGAATCCGGCTTCCCCCTTGACTTTGGCTCGTCAGAAGGTCACCAAAAGGGATCACGTTGTGACCCCCGTCATAAATACAAGTCAGTGGCCAAGCGACCATGGGGAGGCTGCTGTGGTTGTTAAATGTGAAAAATGGTCCTGTCATTTTTTTCAGTGCCGTTGTAACTCTGAATGGTCACTAAATGAACTGTTCTAAGTCGAGGACTATCTGTACAGGTGGGCCTTGACTTAGGACCGTAATGGAGCCTGCCCAAGTCAGGACGGCCGTTAAATGAGGTGCCCACATGACTGCCTCGCTCAACAACCTCAACAGAGCAAGGGCCTTCAAGGCCTGTGGACTTCAACTCCCAGAATTCCCGAGCTAAACACGATTGGAGGAGGAATTCTGGGAGTTGAAGTCCACAAGGCTTAAAGCTGTCAGGTTTGAAGACCCCTGCCCCAGATCTTGGGTCTGGTGGGGTCCTGGGCGCTTTCAGAGCCTGCTTGTTTTCTGGCAGGCGTTTCATGACCCAAGTAGGGAACACCATCAGTGCCAGAAGGTAGGGGGGGTTGCAGAGAGGAGGGGAGGAGAAGGAGAGTGGGGTCTCAGAGGCTTGGCTGTTTTCTTGCAGACGTTTCATGACCCAAGTCGGTTACATCCTCAGTGCTGGAAGGGAGTGGGGTTTACAGGGGGGGAGGAGAGGGTGTTAGGAATAAGTAAATTCAAAAATAAAATGGTACATAAGATGCTTAAAGGTTTCACAAATGGGGGTTGGACTAGATGACCTTGCGGGGTCCCTTCCAATTCTATTAATCTGTTATCAAATGAAATATATCTCCCTGTATATTCATGCTTTGCTTTTATACTTTTGACATGCTCCATTGTTAAGCCTTTTTATATATATTTTTATCTTATGTATGTGCCTTTTATATTATTATTTTCGTAGTATATGATGAGCTTAGAAAGAGGCCCTGATGAGGGGATGCTACGTTCCTTAACGCTAAGGAAAGAGGCCATGTGGGCAGCCAAAGTTAAGAGGTACGGAGGGGAACATAACGGAAGGAGGCCCTTCTCCCTGGAGCATCCTAGGATGAGCTGCAACACCTGAGGGCAAAATCCAAAGAGGTTCAACTGGGGAGGGAATGAGCCTCAAAGAAGGAGGGAACTTGGGTGAGGAGATGAAACTGTCTATAAAAGTATGTTTTGAGGTTCCAAAGGTGTGGCTTTTGATTTGAACCTGTTTCTCGAGGTTCTAAAGACCACCGGCGCTTTGCAAACGGCCTGTTATTTCTTTTTAATAAATCCTCTTTGTTTTCAACGATTTGTTGGCTTTGAGTTATTTCCAACAGGGGGAGGAAGAGACAGAGAAGGAGGACTAGCACTGATGACGTTCCCTAGTTGGGTCGCGAAATGTCTGCCAGAAAACCCACCCAGCTCAGAGAGCACCAAAGGACCCTCACAGTTCAACCCTGAGCTACAAATATTCCCCTTTATTGACAATTCAATTTAATCTGAAAGGGTATGAAATTGGGGGGGCTACTGCTGGGCCCCCCAAAGCAAGGCCCAGGGCTTCAGGTGACTCCCAACCTCAACACCTCTCCTTCAAAGTTAGTATCGATGACTGGGAGCCCAGCAGGAAGAGTTTTTCCGACTAAAAACTAGCCGCCTTTCCGTCAGCAGCTCCGGGAGTGCTGTCGGCAGCGGGCACCCTTACCTCGAGGCCATCCAAACTCACCCTGGCGCTGACGAAGACGAAGTCCTTCCGCTGCGTCTTGTCCTTCTCTTTCTCAAAGACGATGCCCAGTTTATTTTGCACCCGCTGGGATTTGATCAGCTGGCGGACTGGGGGGAGGAGAGGGGGGAGGAGGAGGGGTGGGTGATAAAGAAACACAAACCCCCTCTTTCCCATTGAACCATTCCCCCTCCCGGGGGTTCACCGTACAGGTAGTCCTCGACTTACGACCGTTCATTTAGAGACCATTCAAAGAGGAAGAGGAGGAGGAGGAGGAGGAGGAGGAGGAGGAGG